GTGGTGGTTTGTGTGTGTGTGTGGGGGGTGGTGGTGGTTTGTGTGTGTGTGTGGGGTGGTGGTGGTTTGTGTGTGTGTGTGTGTGTGGGGTGGTGGTGGTTTGTGTGTGTGTGTGTGGGGTGGTGGTGGTTTGTGTGTGTGTGTGTGTGGGGTGGTGGTGGTTTGTGTGTGTGTGTGTGTGTGGGGTGGTGGTGGTTTGTGTGTGTGTGTGTGTGTGGGGTGGTGGTGGTTTGTGTGTGTGTGTGTGTGGGGTGGTGGTGGTTTGTGTGTGTGTGTGTGTGGGGTGGTGGTGGTTTGTGTGTGTGTGTGTGTGTGGGGTGGTGGTGGTTTGTGTGTGTGTGTGTGTGTGGGGTGGTGGTGGTTTGTGTGTGTGTGTGTGTGGGGTGGTGGTGGTTTGTGTGTGTGTGTGTGTGGGGTGGTGGTGGTTTGTGTGTGTGTGTGTGTGGGGTGGTGGTGGTTTGTGTGTGTGTGTGTGGGTGGTGGTGGTTTGTGTGTGTGTGTGTGGGGAGTGGTGGTGGTTTGTGTGTGTGTGTGGGAGTGGTGGTGGTTTGTGTGTGTGTGTGGGGGGTGGTGGTGGTTTGTGTCTGACCCCCAGGAACAGGTTTGCAGATATGCTGAGTATTTCTTTCAAGTCTTTGGTGTGGGGATATCCCTCCAGCCTGGAAACATCATAGGGCAAAGTGGCGATGACCCTGCAGAGGCTGCAGTGCTTTAAATATTCGAAGAAGTCGGCACCTTTTGAGTGGCTGGCTGAGGTGCAATCTGTTGAGGAAGTACTGAAGGCGATCCAGAGTCTTAAGACTAGGGAAAGGACCGCCCTCCCCTTAGGGAAATGCTGCGGGAGAGTGGCGTTTGTGCACAGTCTGCCCTACTGACATAACAACATTCTGGACCACTGGACAGGTTCCGTAGGATTGGAAGGATGCCCTTGTTGGTCCCCCTCTCAGAAGGGGGACCGCACAAACTGCAACAACTACAGGGGCATCTCACTCCTCTGTGCCGGGCAAAGTACTGGCAAGGATTATTCAACATCGCCTTGCCAGGCATGCTGAAGAGAGGCTTGCGGAGCCCCAATGCGGTTTCAGGCAAGGGCGGTCCTACACAGATGCCATATTCCCTGTCTGTCTGCTACAGCAGAGGTGTAGGGAATTCCAACAGGACCTACATCTTTGCTTTATTGACCTGGCCTATGATACCATCAGTAGGCCTGGGCTCTGGGTTGTTTGGTGAGCAGGCCCCTGGTAAAACTACGTGGCCGGGAGTCAGAGCCATTCCCTGTTCACCTTGGAGTGCGACAGGGATGTCCTCTGGCTCCCACATTATTTAACATCTTTTTTGACCATGTAGTTTATGAGGCCTTCAATAGCTGTACCTGTAGGAATCTCCATTTGGTACAGATATAATGGGAGGCTGATCGATGCCCGGGTGCGGTCAAGGGATGGCTCCCCATTGCTCAACCACGTTATGTATGCCGATGATTTGGTAATAGCTGCTCATTCAGAGGAGTTGGAGATGCTGCTGCTGAGACTGGAGCGTGCCACTAAGAGATGGGGCCTTACCATCAGCCCCACCAAAACTAAGCACCTGCCTGGGTATTATAGACGTTTCGGCCACAACACAAGCGGCCTTCATCAGGTGAAGGGACGAGACTGTCTGGTAGGACAGCGCTGGAGTGATGAAGGCCCGCTTGTGTTGTGGCCGAAACGTCGTGAGAATATTATTGTGTTATTTTATTTTATCAATTTCTTATTTTATTCTCATTCTACGTGGTGGTGACTTTACCGAAAGAACCAAAGAAGATGAATCGTTGCAGTCACGAAAGCTTTAAATGGGAATTTAGACTGTAGCCTGTTTTCTTAACATGAAAAATATAAAATAAAATAAAAAATATTTTAAATAAATACATAATATTTAATAATAATATCATCTTGATTTTTTTCAATTTATTTTATATTTTTCAAGTTATGAACCAGGCTGCAAAGTCTACATTATGGGCTGCCAGTAAGCTCACCCCAGCTTGATAACCGGGCTACAGTCTACATTGGCAGTTTTTTTTGTTGACGATTTTTATTATTTGTTTTTTTTTATTATCATCATTTCTATCTACGTGACTTTAGCTAAAGAACCAAAGACTATTCATTCCTGCAGTCACGAAAGTTTCAAGTGGAGAGTTCCCCCCCATACCTGGGCAGTGTGCTCACGACCGGCTCCGGTTTGACAGCAGAGCTCTCACTCCGAATCAGTCGAGCGGCAATATCTTTTCATCGGTTGCGTAACGCTGCTGTGTGGAAGCTACCTGGCCTGTCGCTCCGCACGAAGCTTCAGGTCTTCTCGGCCACGGTCATTCCCTCCCTTCTCTGCGCTTGCGAAACGTGGACCCCCTCCCCCTAAATGGAACATCTTTGCCGGTTAGAAACATTCAGGCTGACCCTGCCTACGATCCATCCTGGGTTTAACCAGGCTGGATTGTGTGAGGAGCTCACAAATCCTTGAAATACCTGGACAAAGTCCCATCAGTGTGAGCTCCTCCGGCAGGGTATGGGGCTAAACGGGCGTTGCGTGGGCAAGAGATCGGCCTCTGTGGAGGAGGAGGAGGCTCGTGAAGGACGCTGCTACTGGGCAGTTGGAGGCAGTCGCCCTCCAACAACAACAACGGAGGGCGGAGGAGCGACGCTCGCAACAACGAGCGGAGCGCCGGGTGGCAAAGGGCACAGCGGGGTTGGCACAGTAGGGGGCACAGGTGGTGCATCAGTCAGTCGCCCTCCAACAACAACGGAGGGCGGAGGAGCGACGCTCGCAACAACGAGCGGAGCGCCGGGTGGCTAAAGGGCACAGCGGGGTTGGCACAGCAGTAGGGGGACACAGGCGGTGCATCAGCCAGTCATCTCAGTCAGTCGCCCTCCAACAACAACGGAGGGCGGAGGAGCGACGCTCGCAACAACGAGCGGAGCGCCGGGTGGCTAAAGGGCACAGCGGGGTTGGCACAGCAGTAGGGGGACACAGGCGGTGCATCAGCCAGTCATCTCGGTCAGTCGCCCTCCAACAACAACGGAGGGCGGAGGAGCGACGCTCAGAACAACGAGCGGAGCGCCGGGTGGCTAAAGGGCACAGCGGGGTTGGCACAGCAGTAGGGGGCACAGGTGGTGCATCAGCCAGTCATCTCAGTCAGTCGCCCTCCAACAACAACAACGGAGGGCGGAGGAGCGACGCTCGCAACAACGAGCGGAGCGCCGGGTGGCTAAAGGGCACAGCGGGGTTGGCACAGCAGTAGGGGGCACAGGTGGTGCATCAGCCAGTCATCTCAGTCAGTCGCCCTCCCTCCAACAACAACAACGGAGGGCGGAGGAGCGACGCTCAGAACAACGAGCGGAGCGCCGGGTGGTTAAAGCACAGCAGGTTGGCACAGCAGTAGGGGACACAGGCGGTGCATCAGCCGGTCGTCTCGGTCAGTCGACCCGTGGCACCTGCTGGGTCCGACCCGTGACGACCTCCTGCCAAGCGGACGTTGGCCCTCCAATGTGCACCACGTGGCCTGGCACCAAGCGTCGTGGTGACGTCACCGCCACTTGGTGGCGAATGGCGGTTGTTGTTGTTTAACCGTGTTGGCTGGCCGTGTCCGTGTGTGTGTGTGTGTGGTGGTGATAATAATAATTATTATTATACAACCGTGCTCTGTCTTTGAAACTGAAGGGCCTACACCAAGATGTTAATGGCTGCTGTCAACCCTCCTCCACCCCCCCCCAGGTCTCCGACGGGCTCCCCCCCCCCCCCTCTCTCTCTCTCTCCATGGAGGAGCCACCCCCCGTGGCCCCCCAGGGTGGCGGGGCTGAGGGGGGGGGCCTTGGGGGCCACCGCCCCTCCCCCCCACGGACCTCACCGCCCCCCAGTGGCGGTGGGGGCGGTGTGAAGACCCCAGCAGGCGGGCTGGCCGAGGGGGTGGAGAACGGAGACGGTGGTGGTGGTGGTGGTGGTGACGGTGGTGGTGGTGGTGGTGGTGACGGTGGTGGTGGTGGTGGTGGTGACGGTGGTGGTGGTGGTGACGGTGGTGGTGGTGGTGACGGTGGTGGTGGTGGTGTCAGTGGTGTGAGCATCGGTGTGGGTGACGGTGGTGGTGGTGGTGGTGGTAGAGACGGTGGTGGTGGTGGTGGTGGTGGTAGAGACGGTGGTGGTGGTGGTGGTGGTGGTAGAGACGGTGGTGGTGGTGACGGTGGTGGTGGTGGTGGTGACGGTGGTGGTGGTGGTGACGGTGGTGGTGGTGGTGACGGTGGTGGTGGTGGTGACGGTGTTGGTGGTGGTGTCAGTGGTGTGAGCATCGGTGTGGGTGACGGTGGTGGTGTTAGTGGTGTGGGTGACGGTGGTGGTGTTAGTGGTGTTAGTGGTGTGGGTGACGGTAGTGGTGTTGGTGGTGTGGGTGACGGTGGTGGTGTTGGTGGTGTGGGTGACGGTGGTGGTGTTGGTGGTGTGGGTGACGGTGGTGGTGTTAGTGGTGTTAGTGGTGTGGGTGACGGTAGTGGTGTTGTTGACGGTGTTGGTGCGGTGGGTGGCGGTGTTGGTGGTGTGGGTGACGGTGACGGTGTCGGTGACGGTGATGGTGGTGTCAGTGGTGACGGTGATGGTGGTGTCAGTGGTGACGGTGATGGTGGTGTCAGTGGTGACGGTGATGGTGGTGTCAGTGGTGACGGTGATGGTGGTGTCAGTGGTGACGGTGATGGTGGTGTCAGTGGTGACGGTGATGGTGGTGTCAGTGGTGACGGTGATGGTGGTGTCAGTGGTGACGGTGACGGTGGTGTCAGTGGTGACGGTGACGGTGGTGTCAGTGGTGACGGTGATGGTGGTGTCAGTGGTGACGGTGATGGTGGTGTCAGTGGTGACGGTGATGGTGGTGTCAGTGGTGACGGTGATGGTGGTGTCAGTGGTGACGGTGATGGTGGTGTCAGTGGTGACGGTGATGGTGGTGTCAGTGGTGACGGTGATGGTGGTGTCAGTGGTGACGGTGATGGTGGTGTCAGTGGTGGCAGTGGTGGTGTCAGTGGTGACGGTGGCGACGATGGCGGTGGTGGTAATGAGGAGGACAAGGTGGTGGTTGTGGCTCCTCCTCCCTTGGCCTCCTCTTCTTCCTCCTCCGGGAAATCATCGACTTCCCCGGCTCCTCTGAGCAGCAGGCGTCTCAACTTCCGCTACTCGAAGGTGCCACGCTCGCTCGTTCACTCATTCGCTCGCTCGTTCGCTCATTCGCTCGCTCGTTCGCTCATTCACTCGCTCGTTCGCTCATTCACTCGCTCGTTCGCTCATTCACTCGCTCGTTCGCTCATTCGCTCGCTCGTTCGCTCGTTCGCTCGTTCGCTCGCTCGTTCGCTCGTTCGCTCGCTCGCTCGCTCGTTCGCTCGCTCGTTCGCTCGTTCGCTCGCTCGTTCACTCATTCGCTCGTTCACTCATTCGCTCGCTCGTTCACTCATTCGCTCGCTCGTTCACTCATTCGCTCGCTCGTTCGCTCATTCGCTCGCTCGCTCGTTCATTCGCTCGCTCGCTCGTTCATTCGCTCGCTCGTTTGCTCATTCGCTCGCTCGTTCGCTCATTCGCTCGCTCGTTCGCTCATTCGCTCGCTCGTTCGCTCATTCGCTCGCTCGTTCGCTCATTCGCTCGCTCGTTCGCTCATTCGCTCGCTCGTTCGCTCATTCGCTCGCTCGTTCGCTCATTCGCTCGCTCGTTCGCTCATTCGCTCGCTCGTTCGCTCATTCGCTCGCTCGTTCGCTCATTCGCTCGCTCGTTCGCTCATTCGCTCGCTCGTTCGCTCATTCGCTCGCTCGTTCGCTCATTCGCTCGCTCGTTCACTCATTCGCTCGCTCGTTCACGTCATTCACTCGCTCGTTAATTCGCTCACTGATTAATTCAGAGTTCATTCGGTGATCTATCGCCCGCTCATTCTTTCAGAGCTCGCCCGCTCGTTCATTCGAGCGCTCACTTTCACCCACTCGCTGACGTGACTCATTCGCTGGCTTATCGTGTGTGTGTGTGTGTGCGCGTGTGTGCGTGCGTTCATCAGGAGCGACTGATGCAGATCAAAGAGCTGAGTCCTGCAGCTCAACTGCGCCCCAAGTGTCTCCGTGACAAGTTTGACTGGTGAGTGGGTGAGCTGGTGGCTGCCTGGGTGGGTAAGCTGGTGGCTGGCTGGGTGGGTGAGCTGGTGGCTGGCTGGGTGGGTGAGCTGGTGGCTGGCTGGGTGGATGAGCTTGGTGGCAGGCTGGGTGGGTGAGCTGGTGGCAGGCTGGGTGGGTGAAGCTGGTGGCTGGGTGAGCTGGTGGGTGGGTGAGCTGGTGGCTGGCTGGGTGGGTGAGCTGGTGGCTGGCTGGGTGGGTGAGCTGGTGGCTGGCTGGGTGGGTGAAGCTGGTAGCTGGCTGGGTGGGTGAGCTGGTAGCTGGCTGGGTGGGTGAGCTGGTGGCTGGCTGGGTGGGTGAGCTGGTGGCTGGCTGGGTGGGTGAAGCTGGTGGCTGGGTGGGTGGGTGAGCTGGTGGCTGGGTGGGTGGGTGAAGCTGGTGGCTGGGTGGGTGAAGCTGGTGGCTGGGTGAGCTGGTGGCTGGGTGGCTGGGTGAGCTGGTGGCTGGCTGGGTGGGTGAGCTGGTGGCTGGGTGGGTGAAGCTGGTGGCTGGGTGGGTGGGTGAAGCTGGTGGCTGGGTGGGTGGGTGAGCTGGTGGCTGGGTGGGTGGGTGAAGCTGGTGGCTGGGTGGGTGAAGCTGGTGGCTGGGTGAGCTGGTGGCTGGGTGGCTGGGTGAGCTGGTGGCTGGGTGGGTGGGTGAGCTGGTGGCTGGCTGGGTGGGTGAGCTGGTGGCTGGGTGGGTGGGTGAGCTGGTGGCTGGGTGGGTGAGCTGGTGGCTGGGTGGGTGAGCTGGTGGCTGGCTGGGTGGGTGAAGCTGGTGGCTGGGTGGGTGGGTGAAGCTGGTGGCTGGGTGGGTGGGTGAGCTGGTGGCTTGCTGGGTGGGTGAAGCTGGTGGCTGGGTGGGTGAAGCTGGTGGCTGGGTGGGTGGGTGAGCAGGTGGCTGGCTGGGTGGGTGAAGCTGGTGGCTGGGTGGGTGGGTGAGCAGGTGGCTGGCTGGGTGGGTGAGCTGGTGGCTGGGTGGGTGGGTGAAGCTGGTGGCTGGGTGGGTGAAGCTGGTGGCTGGGTGAGCTGGTGGCTGGGTGGCTGGGTGAGCTGGTGGCTGGCTGGGTGGGTGAGCTGGTGGCTGGGTGGGTGGGTGAGCTGGTGGCTGGCTGGGTGGGTGAGCTGGTGGCTGGGTGGGTGAGCTGGTGGCTGGCTGGGTGGGTGAAGCTGGTGGCTGGGTGGGTGGGTGAGCTGGTGGCTGGCTGGGTGGGTGAGCTGGTGGGTGGGTGGGTGGGTGAGCTGGTGGCTGGCTGGGTGGGTGAAGCTGGTGGGTGGGTGAGCAGGTGGCTGGGTGGGTGAGCAGGTGGCTGGCTGGGTGGGTGAAGCTGGTGGGTGGGTGAGCAGGTGGCTGGGTGGGTGAGCTGGTGGCTGGGTGGGTGGGTGAGCTGGTGGCTGGCTGGGTGGGTGAAGCTGGTGGGTGGGTGGGTGGGTGAGCTGGTGGCTGGCTGGGTGAGCTGGTGGCTGGCTGGCTGGGTGAGCAGGTGGCTGGCTGGCTGGGTGAGCAGGTGGCTGGCCGGGTGGGTGAGCTGGTGGCTGGCTGGGTGGGTGAGCTGGTGGCTGGGTGGGTGAAGCTGGTGGCTGGGTGAGTGGGTGAGCTGGTGGCTGGGTGGGGGGGTGAAGCTGGTGGCTGGGTGGGTGAAGCTGGTGGCTGGGTGAGCTGGTGGCTGGGTGGCTGGGTGAGCTGGTGGCTGGCTGGGTGGGTGAGCTGGTGGCTGGGTGGGTGGGTGAGCTGGTGGCTGGCTGGGTGGGTGAGCTGGTGGCTGGGTGGGTGAGCTGGTGGCTGGGTGGCTGGGTGAGCTGGTGGCTGGCTGGGTGGGTGAGCTGGTGGCTGGGTGGGTGGGTGAGCTGGTGGCTGGCTGGGTGGGTGAGCTGGTGGCTGGGTGGGTGAGCTGGTGGCTGGGTGGGTGGGTGAAGCTGGTGGCTGGGTGGGTGGGTGAGCTGGTGGCTTGCTGGGTGGGTGAAGCTGGTGGCTGGGTGGGTGAAGATGGTGGCTGGGTGGGTGGGTGAGCAGGTGGCTGGCTGGGTGGGTGAAGCTGGTGGGTGGGTGGGTGGGTGAGCTGGTGGCTGGGTGGGTGGGTGAGCTGGTGGCTGGCTGGGTGGGTGAAGCTGGTGGGTGGGTGGGTGGGTGAGCTGGTGGCTGGGTGGGTGGGTGAGCTGGTGGCTGGGTGGGTGGGTGAGCTGGTGGCTGGGTGGGTGAAGCTGGTGGCTGGGTGGGTGGGTGAGCAGGTGGCTGGCTGGGTGGGTGAAGCTGGTGGCTGGGTGGGTGGGTGAGCTGGTGGCTGGCTGGGTGGGTGAGCAGGTGGCTGGCTGGGTGGGTGAAGCTGGTGGGTGGGTGAGCTGGTGGCTGGGTGGGTGGGTGAGCTGGTGGCTGGCTGGGTGAGCTGGTGGCTGGCTGGCTGGGTGAGCAGGTGGCTGGCCGGGTGGGTGAGCTGGTGGCTGGCTGGGTGGGTGAGCTGGTGGCTGGGTGGGTGAAGCTGGTGGCTGGGTGGGTGGGTGAGCTGGTGGCTGGGTGGGTGGGTGAAGCTGGTGGCTGGGTGGGTGAAGCTGGTGGCTGGGTGGGTGGGTGAAGCTGGTGGCTGGGTGGGTGGGTGAAGCTGGTGGCTGGGTGGGTGGGTGAGCTGGTGGCTGGGTGGGTGGGTGAAGCTGGTGGCTGGGTGGGTGAAGCTGGTGGCTGGGTGAGCTGGTGGCTGGGTGGCTGGGTGAGCTGGTGGCTGGGTGGGTGGGTGAGCTGGTGGCTGGGTGGGTGGGTGAGCTGGTGGCTGGCTGGGTGGGTGAAGCTGGTGGCTGGGTGGGTGAAGCTGGTGGCTGGGTGGGTGGGTGAGCTGGTGGCTGGGTGGGTGGGTGAGCAGGTGGCTGGCTGGGTGGGTGAAGCTGGTGGGTGGGTGAGCAGGTGGCTGGGTGGGTGAAGCTGGTGGCTGGGTGGGTGGGTGAGCTGGTGGCTGGGTGGGTGGGTGAGCTGGTGGCTGGGTGGGTGGGTGAGCTGGTGGCTGGCTGGGTGGGTGAAGCTGGTGGGTGGGTGGGTGAGCTGGTGGCTGGGTGGGTGGGTGAGCTGGTGGCTGGGTGGGTGGGTGAGCTGGTGGCTGGGTGGGTGAAGCTGGTGGCTGGCTGGGTGAAGCTGGTAGCTGGCTAGGTGGGTGAAGCTGGTGGGTGGGTGGGTGAGCTGGTAGCTGGCTAGGTGGGTGAAGCTGGTGGGTGGGTGGGTGAGCTGGTAGCTGGCTAGGTGGGTGAAGCTGGTGGGTGGGTGGGTGAGCTGGTGGCTGGCTGGGTGAGCTGGTGGCTGGGTGGGTGAGCTGGTGGCTGGCTGGCTGGGTGAAGCTGGTAGCTGGCTAGGTGGGTGAAGCTGGTGGGTGGGTGGCTGGGTGAGCTGGTGGCTGGGTGGGTGGGTGAGCTGATGGCTGGCTGGGTGGGTGAGCTGGTGGCTGGCTGGGTGGGTGAGCTGGTGGCTGGGTGGGTGGGTGAGCTGGTGGCTGGCTGGGTGGGTGAGCTGGTGGCTGGCTGGGTGGGTGAGCTGGTGGCTGGCTGGGTGGGTGAGCTGGTGGCTGGCTGGGTGGGTGAGCTGGTGGCTGGGTGGGTGGGTGAGCTGGTGGCTGGCTGGGTGGGTGAGCTGGTGGCTGGGTGGGTGGGTGAAGCTGGTGGCTGGGTGGGTGGGTGAGCTGGTGGCTGGGTGGGTGGGTGAAGCTGGTGGCTGGGTGGGTGAAGCTGGTGGGTGGGTGAGCTGGTGGCTGGGTGGGTGGGTGAGCTGGTGGCTGGCTGGGTGGGTGAAGCTGGTAGCTGGCTGGGTGGGTGAGCTGGTGGCTTGCTGGGTGGGTGAAGCTGGTGGCTGGGTGGGTGGGTGAGCAGGTGGCTGGCTGGGTGAAGCTGGTAGCTGGCTGGGTGGGTGAGCTGGTGGCTGGCTGGGTGGTTGAAGCTGGTGGCTGGGTGGGTGGGTGAGCAGGTGGCTGGGTGGGTGGGTGAGCTGGTGGCTGGGTGAGCTGGTGGCTGGGTGAGCTGGTGGCTGGGTGAGCTGGTGGCTGGGTGAGCTGGTGGCTGGGTGGGTGAGCTGGTGGCTGGCTGGGTGGGTGAGCTGGTGGCTGGGTGGGTGAGCTGGTGGCTGGCAGGGTGAGTGGCTGGGTGGGTGAGTGGCTGGGTGGGTGAGCTGGTGGCTGGCTGGGCGAGTGGCCGAGTTGGTGGACCTCTGCTTAGACGTTTGTGTGTCCGTGCGTAGCGATGGGGTGTGGGACCCCGAGCGCTGGCACGCATCCCTCTACCCCGACGGGGAGCCAGCCCCTGCCCCCGCCCCCTCCGTTGGGGGGCCCGGGGCAGGCGCGGCGCTGGTGGGAGGGGTCCCCGAGGGGTTGGTGGGGGGCACGGCCACGGTGGGGGGCGGTGGCGGTGGGAAGAGGGAGCGCTCTCTGGACGGGGAGAGGGCGCTGGCGAAACGGCGATCATCCGGTGAGGCTCCAACCCCCGACCACGAGCCACTGTGAACCCCACCCACCCACCCACACGGCCACTGTGAACCCATCCACCCACACTGCCACTGTGAACCCATCCACCCACCCACACGGCCACTGTGAACCCCACCCACCCACCCACACGGCACCTCTGTCTTTGTGCAAGTGAATGGGTAAGGGTGAATCGTGTTTCTGTGTGCGTCTCTCTCTCTCTCTGTGTGTGCGTCTCTCTCTCTCTCTCTGTGTGTGCGTCTCTCTCTCTGTGTGCATCTCTGTCTCTCTGTGTGCGTCTCTGTCTCTCTCCAGATCCCCGTGAAAGAATCCGAGAGGAGGATGACATCGAGGTTGTGCTGAGTCCGCAGAGACGGAGCTTTGGCAGCGGCTGCCAGGTTGCTCACCCGCTCGCCCGCTCACCCGCTTACCGCCTCGCCCGCTCACCCACTCACCGCCTCGCCCGCTCACCCACTCACCGCCTCGCCCGCTCACCCACTCACCGCCTCGCCCGCTCACCCACGGAAACGCCCGCTCGCCCACACGCACGCCCACCTACTCGCCTGCCCACACATGCCCGCTCACCCGCACGCCTGCTCGCCCACCCGCCCGCTCTCACCCACACACTCGTCACCACCACCACCACCACGTTGATCTCCATCCAGCAGTGGATAGACCCTGGTTATGTTGCATTGATCTCCATCCAGCAGCGGACGGACCCTGTCTGAAGGGGGGGTGGGTGCGCGTGTGTGTGAGCGTGTGTGTGTGTGTGTGTGTGAGCGCGTGTGTGTGAGCGTGTGTGTGTGAGCGTGTGTGTGTGTGTGTGTGAGCGCGTGTGTGTGTGTGTGAGCGCGTGTGTGTGTGTGAGCGCGTGTGTGTGTGTGAGCGTGTGTGTGTGTGTGTGTGAGCGCGTGTGTGTGTGTGTGTGAGCGCGTGTGTGTGTGTGTGAGCGCGTGTGTGTGTGAGCGCGTGTGTGTGTGTGTGCGTGTGTGTGTGCGTGCGTGTGTGTGTGTGTGTGAGCGCGTGTGTGTGCGTGCGTGTGTGTGTGTGTGTGAGCGCGTGTGTGTGAGCGCGTGTGTGTGTGTGTGAGCGCGTGTGTGTGTGTGTGAGCGCATGTGTGTGTGTGTGTGTGTGCGCGTGTGTGTGTGTGTGAGCGCGCGTGTGTGTGTGTGAGCGAGCGTGTGTGTGTGTGAGCGCGTGTGTGTGTGTGTGTGTGAGCGCGTGTGTGTGTGTGTGTGTGAGCGCGTGTGTGTGTGTGTGTGAGCGCGTGTGTGTGTGTGTGTGTGAGCGCGTGTGTGTGTGTGTGTGTGAGCGCGTGTGTGTGTGTGTGTGTGTGAGCGCGTGTGTGTGTGTGTGTGTGTGTGAGCGCGTGTGTGTGTGTGTGTGTGTGAGCGCGTGTGTGTGTGTGTGTGTGAGCGCGTGTGTGTGTGTGTGTGTGTGAGCGCGTGTGTGTGTGTGTGTGAGCGCGTGTGTGTGTGTGTGTGTGAGCGCGTGTGGGGAGCGGTGGTGTAGCGGTTAGCGCTACGCTGCGCTATGAACCCGGCGACCCGGGTTCGATTCCCGCTCACGGCCAACACCAGTGACGATTATCTGAACCGGTCCCGGGCCTCCCCTAGGTCGAATCGGCCTCAAATGAGTACCTGGTGCGGTGTGCAAACATCGCCACTGGGGAGACAAAGGCGGTCGGGCGTGGTGCTGGCCACCCACCCCCTCGTGTACCGTTCCGGCCTTCATAGACGCTGCTCGCTTAACAGCACTTGCCCCTACAGTCTGTTAAGGCTACACGGGGGATCGATGTGTGTGTGTGTGTACGTGTGTGTGTCTACGTGTGTGTGTGTGTACGTGTGTGTGTGTACGTGTGTGTGTGTGTTTGTGTACGTGTGTGTGTGTACATGTACGTGTGTGTGTGTACATGTACGTGTGTGTGTGTACATGTACGTGTGTGTGTGTGTACGTGTGTGTGTGTGTGTACGTGTGTGTGTGTGTGCACGCACGTCCCCTCCGCAGGTGAACCCCGTGTCTCCCCTCTGCGGCCCGGTAGTCTCCGGTCGACCGGCCGGCAGTCCCCTGGAAGCCGGAGAACACCTTGGTGCAGGGGAGAGGGCCCTCCTGGGTGGGAGAGGAGGAGGAGGTGGTGGAGGTGGTGGAGGAGGTGGAGGAGGTGGAGGAGGAGGAGGAGGAGGTGGAGGACTCTCCACCGTTGATCGTCGCCCCGTTGGGAGTGGCAGGGTTCTGATCAAAGCTCTGGAGCGGGATGGGAGGGACCTCCTGATGAGGGATGGGAGGGATGGAAGGGAGCTCCTGAGGGATGGGAGGGATGGGAGAGACCACCTGAGAGATGGGAGAGACCTGAGGGATGGGAGAGACCTCCTGAGGGATGGGAGGGATGGAAGGGAGCTCCTGAGGGATGGGAGAGACCTGAGGGATGGGAGAGACCTCAGGGATGGGAGAGACCTCAGGGATGGGAGAGACCTGAGGGATGGGAGAGACCTCCTGAGGGATGGGAGAGACCTGAGGGATGGGAGAGACCTCGGGAGGGATGGGAGAGACCTCCTGAGGGATGGGAGGGATGGGAGAGACCTCCTGAGGGATGGGAGGGACCTCCTGAGGGATGGGAGGGATGGGAGGGACCTCCTGAGGGATGGGAGGGACCTCCTGAGGGATGGGAGGGATGGGAGAGACCTCCTGAGGGATGGGAGGGATGGGAGGGACCTCCTGAGGGATGGGAGGGACCTCCTGAGGGATGGGAGGGATGGGAGGGATGGGAGGGACCTCCTGAGGGATGGGAGGGATGGGAGGGATGGGAGGGACCTCCTGAGGGATGGGAGGGATGGGAGGGACCTCCTGAGGGATGGGAGAGACCCGAGGGATATCCGGGACCTGAGAGACCGCAACAAGGACAAGAGATTCCGGGTGAGTGAGCTTGTGGGTGGGCGAGTTGAATGGTGGGTGGGTGAGGTGCGAGTTGAACGGTGGGTGGGTGGGTGAGGTGTGAGTTGAACGGTGGGTGAGGTGCGAGTTGAACGGTGGGTGGGTCAGGTGTGAGTTGAACGGTGGGTCGGGTGAGTTGAACGGTGGGTCGGGTGAGGTGTGAGTTGAACGGTGGGTCGGGTGAGTGGAACGGTGGGTGAGGTGTGAGTGAACGGTGGGTGAGTGGAACGGTGGGTGGGTGAGGTGTGAGTGAACGGTGGGTGAGTGGAACGGTGGGTGAGTGGAACGGTGGGTGGGTGAGGTGTGAGTGAACGGTGGGTGAGTGGAACGGTGGGTGGGTGAGGTGCGAGTGAACGGTGGGTCGGGTGAGTGGAACGGTGGGTGGGTGAGTTGTGAGTGGAACGGTGGGTCGGGTGAGTTGAACGATGGGTCGGGTCAGGTGTGAGTTGAACGGTGGGTGAGGTGTGAGTGAACGATGGGTCGGGTGAGGTGCGAGTTGAACGGTGGGTCGGGTGAGTGGAACGGTGGGTGGGTGAGTTGAACGGTGGGTGGGGGTGAGTTGTGAGTTGAACGATGGGTCGGGTGAGGTGCGAGTGAACGGTGGGTGGGTGAGGTGCGAGTGAACGGTGGGTGGGTGAGTTGAACGGTGGGTGGGTGGGTGAGTTGAACGGTGGGTGGGTGAGTTGTGAGTTGAACGGTGGGTGGGTGAGGTGCGAGTGAACGGTGGGTGGGTGAGTTGTGAGTGGAACGATGGGTCGGGTGAGGTGCGAGTTGAACGGTGGGTGGGTGAGGTGCGAGTGAACGGTGGGTGGGTGAGGTGCGAGTGAACGGTGGGTGGGTGATGGGTGAGTTGAACGGTGGGTGGGTGAGTTGTGAGTGGAACGATGGGTCGGGTGAGGTGCGAGTTGAACGGTGGGTGGGTGAGGTGCGAGTGAACGGTGGGTGGTGGGTGAGGTGCGAGTGAACGGTGGGTCGGGTGAGTTGAACGATGGGCCGGGTGAGTTGAACGGTGGGTGAGTTGTGAGTGGAACGGTGGGTCGGGTGAGTTGGGTGACTGAGTGGGTGCCACGGTGATTGTCTAAGAGCTCCACAGCAGATGCTCGGCGGGGGGGGCCCCCCTTACGCCTGGTACAGTAAACATCGATGAGCTTTAGCCGAGATTATTTGCGGTGCATTTGCGCTTGGTTCGATATCGGCCGCTCGGTTGAGCCGATGTCGCTTGCGATGTCCACGGCTCTTCTTTAGAAAGACGTAGGTCGCTTTGTGGCGGGGCATTACCTGGTACGCACTAAACACAGTTTAGTTGGAGATTAATTGCTCTACACTTCCTGCATCATGATGATGATGGTGGTGATGGTGATAACAGCCACTCGTTTGAGCTGCTGTTCACTGGCGATGGGCAGTGTCGCTTCTAAAGAAGAGCTTTGCACACGGTTTCGGTTTGTATTCTTGGTTCTTTCGGTAAGGTCACCACGTGGAAGGGAAACAATAAAATAATTCAAAAATATAAAACAATAAAATTATTGTAAAACAATAAAATTATTATTCTTGGTTCTTCCGGTAAAGTCACCACCACGTAGAAGGGAAATAATAAAATAAAAAAATAACAAACAATAAAATTATTGTAAAACAACAATAAAATTACTATTCTTGGTTCTTCCGGTAAAGTCACCACCACGTAGAAGGGAAATAATAAAAATATAAAACAATAAAATTATTGTAAAACAATCAAATTATTATTCTTGGTTCTTCCGGTAAAGTCACCACCACGTAGAAGGGAAAAAAATATAAAACATTAAAATTCTCACGACTTTTCGACTGCAACACCCAAGCAATCATCATCAGGTGTGAACACCACAGCATCATCACACCTGATGATGACGATTGCGTGTTTTTTATTATTTTATTGTTTTATAATTTTATTATTTTATTGTTTCCCTCCTACGTGGTGGTGACTTTACCGAAAGAACCAAGAATAATAATTTTATTGTTTTACAATAATTTTATTGTTTTATATTTGTATTATTTTATTGTTTCCCTTCTACGTGGTAGTGACTTTACCGAAAGAACCAAGAATAATAATTTTATTGTTTTACAATAATTTTATTGTTTTATATTTTTATTATTTTATTGTTTCCCCCTATCTACGTGGTGGTGACTTTACCGAAAGAACCAAGAATAATAATTTTATTGTTTTACAATAATTTTATTGTTTTATATTTTTATTATTTTATTGTTTCCCCTTCTACGTGGTGGTGACTTTACCGAAAGAACCAAAAATAATAATTTTATTGTTTTACAATAATTTTATTGTTTTATATTTTTATTATTTTATTGTTTCCCTTCTACGTGGTGGTGACTTTACCGAAAGAACCAAGAATAATAATTTTATTGTTTTACAATAATTTTATTGTTTTATATTTTTATTATTTTATTGTTTCCCTTCCACGTGGTGGTGACTTTACCGAAAGAACCAAGATTAACAATTTTATTGTTTTATATTTTTATTATTTTATTGTTTCCCTTCTACGTGGTAGTGACTTTACCGAAAGAACCAAGAATAACAATTTTATTGTTTTATTATTTTATTGTTTTATATTTTTTATTATTTTATTGTTTCCCTTCTACGTGGTGGAGACTTTACCGAAAGACCCAAGAATAATAATTTTATTGTTTTATATTTTTTATTATTATTTTATTGTTTCCCTTCTACGTGGTGGTGACTTTACCGAAAGAACCAAGATTTACAATTTTATTTTTTATATTTTTATTATTTTATTGTTTCCCTTCTACGTGGTAGTGACTTTACCGAAAGAACCAAGCATAATAATTTTATTGTTTTATATTTTTATTATTTTATTGTTTCCCTCCTACGTGGTGGAGACTTTACCGAAAGAACCAAGAATATGAATCCCTGCAGTCACGAAAGCTTTAAATCGAGGTTTCCAGTTTAGTTTCGGTTTAATTTATTTGGAATAACCGCGTGAGGCCATTTTCGGGCCTCTTGATTCTAGTGCCAACCGTAGCAAACAATACAATTCACGAGATGCATTTACAATTTACCGTACGCAAATTGAAACATCCCCCTTACAGTTCAGCGCGGGGGGGGGGTGGGCCTCTCTTACACCTGCTAACAATGAACGGAGTTCGGATTTAAAACGACGTGGCCGGGAGTCTGAGCCCGTTCCCTGCTCACCTTTTTGGGGTGGCGACAGGGATGTCCTCTTGCTCCCACACCATTTGACGCCGTCTTTGACATCGCAACAGACATAGAAAGCTCCCCCCCCCCCCCCTATAGCCTTGACAGACTGTTGTTGCGAATGCTCTTTGCGAGCTCAGCTGTGGCACATGGGAGGGGTGGGTGGGTGAGGTTTGCACACCGCTACACCAGGTACTCGTATTGAGGCCGAGTCGACCTAGGGGAGGCCCAGGAGCCGTTTTAGATGATCGCCACTGGCGGTGTTGGCCGTGAGCGGGAATCGAACTTGGGTCGCCGGGTTCGTAGCGCGGCGTGGCGCTCACCGCTACGCCCACACGCGCAGACGCTCGCTCGCCCACACACACACTCACTGGCTCACACACACACGCTCACTCACTCGCCCACACACACACTCACTCGCTCACTCGCCCACACACACACTCACTGGCTCACACACACTCGCTCACTCGCTCACACACACACTCACTCACTCGCCCACACACACACTCGCTCACTCGCTCACTCGCCCACGCACACTCACTCACTCGCTCACACACACTCGCTCACTCGCCCACACACACGCACTCGCCCACGCACACTCACTCGCCCACGCACGCTCACTCGCTCGCCCACACACTCACTCGCCCACACACACACTCACCCACTCGCCCACACACGCGCTCACTCGCTCACTCGCCCACACACGCGCTCACTCGCCCACTCGCCCACACACACTCACTCACTCACTCGCCCACACACACTCGCTCACTGGCTCACACACACACTCACTCGCTCACACACACACTCACTCGCTCACTCGCCCACACACACACTCACTCGCCCACACACACACACGCTCACTCGCCCACACGCTCTCACTCGCCCACACACACGCGCTCACTCGCCCACACACACACGCTCACTCGCTCACTCGCCCACACTCACTCGCCCACACACACTCGCTCACTCGCCCACACACTCACTCCCTCACTCGCCCACACACACTCACTCGCTCACTCGCCCACGCACACACTCACTCGCCCACACACACACGCGCTCACTCGCCCATGCACACACGCACTCGCTCACTCGCCCACAGTCACTCGCCCACAGTCACTCACCCACACGCTCTCACTCGCCCACACGCTCGCTCGCCTACACGTGCTC